TAGCTCTGAGCTTGCTTTATGTCAGCATCAGGGAAGTAGACTTATTGCTGTAGGTAAAGTAGGTTTTACTTCCGCTTGCCTGCTTATTTTACAGGGGAAAAAAAATGAAGTAAACCATACCTATGGATTTGCTTTTCTTCTGCTTCTACCCCCATGTCCAGGTCTAGCTCTCCTCTACCTCACATGGAGTTGCCTGCTCCCTTTTTGCTATGGGGCACTGAAATCAGCATGATGCTCCCCAGGTATCTCGATCTGGAGTGGTTCACCTCAGCTCTGAGTCACCTCGACCTGGGTGACGCCATGGTGAGCCCTGTCACCAGGAAATTAAGGGAAGGAGAGCTTTGGAAGAGTTGCTGTAAGCAGGGAGGACCCACAAAGCAGGTCCCCTCCTGTACTGGCCATATCTGTGCATCAAGCAAAGCTGTGGCAGGATCTTGTCACCACCACACCCTGGCAGGTCACCAGCAAGCAAGGTTTGGGAGAAATGGGGACAGGATCACACCGCTGTGGGGAAGGAGGTGTATAACTGTGCCTGTTTGGAGGGCCAGATGTGTCCATGTGACTCGAGTCAAACAGAACAAGAGGGAGCAAGGAGCACACATTCCTCTACAGACCCAGTTCCTGAAATCCATTTTGTCCCGTGTGTTTCTGCGATTATGGATAGGTGGAAAGGGAGGAAAGAAGAAAAGAAAGAAAAATCTTTGTTTTATTCTTGGATCTCACACCCCTGAGTCTTTATTTGTTTGCTCTGTATCTGCTCACTTGTACATTGTTTGTCCTGCTGATGGCTGAGCTACTCCAGAGCCTTGCTTCTGCTGGTAAGGAGTCCTGCTCCCCTGTCTATCCCCCTGTGTGCTCAAGCCCCTCTGCCCCAGTCCCAGTATTGCTGGATGTTTCCTCGGACTCAGCGCGCTCACTATTTGACTAAAATCTTTTGCTGGTCAGAAATGAATTGGCACAGAGCTGGTTTGGACAGGCGAGGCAGAGCGAGGTGGTGTGGGGTGCGAATGTGCCAGTGCTTGCAGCCAGAGGACAGGAAAACCCTGGAGGACATGGACTTCTCTCGTTTGGCATCGGTGACCTGGTATGCTGTCATGCATAACTCTCACCAGCGGATAGCTTGGCACAGGATTGTTTTCCATGATCTCAAGGGGCACCTCCATTCCAAACACCACCCCTTCAGCCAGGAATAACGCTTCAGCTCCCACGTGCTTCTAGATTTCCACTTCAACGCTGGCCTCAAATTGAACTCTCTGACAAAGAGTATCTGGCCAGCACTGTGGTCAAATTTACGGTCATTCCTTCTGCCAACATTTTTTACAGCATGCATGGCTGTTATGATGAACTCCTTGCAAAACAAGGATGTGGTGGCAGAAGGTTTCCCTTGCTATCCTGGAGGAAGACCCAGAGTTTGCAGGTGCTCTATGCCTGCCTGGTGCTTCAGCATGAAGACAGTGCTGGCATTGGCTTACGAATGGATGTCACAGAGAAACTGGCAGCTACACAGGCTGACAGAGAGCACTACATTACTTATCCATGCAGCTGGTCTCTTGTGAGCACAGTGCAGGAGATCCACCCTGCTCCTTTCCTGTAGATGCGGGGTTGCAGGTGGTCAGTTTGATGTCCCATTATGCTGGTGGACAGAGACTCTTGTCCTGCTCCCAGCCATTACTAAGACCAGTCCATGCTGCCAGCAGGGCTTAAGAGGCAAATCTCTACTCTTGTCATTGTGGTTTTCCTATCCGGCATCTACACCATGTGCACATCCAGCTCTCCCGGATACAGCTGACTTAGGGCTTCCCCACACCATGCAGTCTGCCTTCAGAGCATTGTGATAGTCCACCTCACGCGTAATCACTTTTCTCCTCACCAGAGGATGGTGAGGCACTGGCACAACTGCCCAGAGAAGCGATGGGTGTCCCATCATGGAAGCAGGTTGGATGGGGCCCTGGGCAGCGTGAGCTGGTGGGTGCAAGCTTGCCCAGAGCAGCAGGTTGGAACTGGATGGGCTTAAAGGTCCCTTCCAACCTGATTCTGTGATTCTCCACCAGCTGAAAGCGCATTTGCAGACTCACCATCTCTTAATTTGTTCTCCTTCCTCTTCTCTATCTTCTCTCTAACTTTCTGAAATGGGAACATTACTTAAAAAACAGGCAATGCAGAACGAGGACAGGCAGCCCCGGGAAAGCAGAGTCAGGCAGAACAAAATAATCGCCTTAGGAGGTGCTTCCAAAGGGCTTTGAACGAATCTGGAGCGCGCGTGTTACTCTCCTCACTCTGTTTTTGTCACGTCTCTGCAATAAAGTGGACATTTTCCCAGCTGCTCGGCAGGGCTGACAGCGTGTTGTCAGGATGGGGCTGTGCCCTAAATACAGACTCTGCGGGTTCAGAAAGTTCCCTTCCTCTAATTGGAGCCAGCTCGCCGAGGTGAAGAAAAGCTGCAAAATTGTTTTAAGCTACGAGCAATTATAACAACCCTAACAGTGCCAGTGACACTAAGAGGATTTGTACTGGATTATATCTAACGTTAACATGATCTAATGCCGCCTGAATAACGCAGTCCGCAGCGGGGCTGGTTCTCGGGGATGGGTGCCTTGTTCTTCAAAGTCACCTGGGGCTCAGGGAGAGAGGAGAGCAAAACTGTGCAGGGTAAATTTTGGTGCGATGTCGGTCTGGTTTAAACATTGGAGATAGGGAGTGATAGAGCAAGTGTGTTTTAATGAGAGCCCAGCAGCCTCCTGCTATTTGACATTCACCCAGCTGGGCAGGGAGACGCTGCAAGTTCTCATGGTGATGCCATGACAGATGTCATGCTGGCCATGGTGCTAGGGCACGCTGGGTGACCCAAACTGTGACACGCTGCTGTCTCCAGGCTGCATCAGATTGTCTGAGGTTGCTTTTAAAATAATTCTTTTTATAGTAGAAGGGAGAATAATGGCACAGAGAGGCTTCAGTTGGTGTAGGCAGAAGAAAAATGGGATTAATTAGGATATGCCCTCATACGCACAGATTTCAGAGAAAGTTCTGCTCTGACAGAGCAGGCTGGAAAGGCTGTATGCACCAGTGATCGTGGTGGTGTATGGAAAAGGAGGGGAGGGAGAGACAGTGCAGGAGCTCAGCTTGCAGGACGAGATCTTGGAGAATACCTGCTCTGCTGCCAACCTAAGGCATGGCTTACAGGGAACTGCTTAATCTTTCTGCAGATCAGTTCCTCAGCTAGCTGAATCAGAGCAGTGAGGGATAAAGAGTAACCTGCATGGGTATGAGGTTCTCAAGTTCTACATTAAGCAAGGATGGAAAAGGTGGAAAGCAGGTAAAAGAGGAAGGATTTGGAAGTTACTGGGCAGAAGGAGACGCATGTGGCCTTGAAAGTTGTCCTTCAGGCCTTGAATTTTGCTGGTGAAATCAGCAGAACCAAGAAAAGTTTTCTGGGGATGTAAGCTTCAGGCATGACTGAAGGTCACAGAATACAAACTGTGCTTGGGAACTACCCAAGACTTGCCTTGCAGCAGTGGCAGCACCTGATCAGATGGGTGCAGGGATCTTTCTTAGCCTAGCTGTGATGCTTGATAGAGGGAACTAATGGGATGAAATTGGCTTTATATCCAAAATGGGAAGCCCCTCCCTGCTAGTGTCAGTGAGCTCTGCAGTGCTGAGCTCTGCAGCAGAGGTAAGGAACGAGGCCAAGAGGTCTAAATTACACTGCTATATACGCTGCCTTTGAATTTGGCCCTGAAAGTAGACTAGGTCAGCAATGCTGATGAATGAAAGAACTTTGTATCAAGCCCTTAGGAAATTTTAATCACTAATACAGTACGTTTATTTTGCAGAGCTGTAAAGAGCCATGTACCTATGCAACATTGAACTGTACTCCATCCTACCTAGGGGGTAAGTTCAGACCCCAAAATATACTGAATGGGGTATGCTGAATGTCAGACAACTGACATTAAGTCCTATGGCTCACACTGTCTGCCACCTCCTAGTCCACTGCAGCCCACTTCAACAAGCCCCTTGCACCTTATCATTTCCACTTCATCACTCTCATGAACATTTAGGCATAGAATCACAGAATCATTAAAGTTGGAAGAGACCACTAATGTTATACAGTGCAACCATCAACCCATCACCAGCACGGCCCTTAAAGGGTAACATGGCGTTGTATTGTCAAAAAACTATAAGCCAAAACAAGCATCCAAAGGAATACAAACTTAGCTAAAAGGAAATATATTTCAGAGAAGCATATTTTCATTTGGCTCTTCATTCTCCTCACTGGGATTTTGGCTCCTGCCATGCATGGTAAAGGAAAAGAGCCAGTATGGATAGGAGACAAAGAAGGGAGGAGAATTCAGGGCTGAGGAGAACCATGGGAGATGAGATCTGTGGGAAGATGTGCCACCAGCTCCTGAGTGCAGGGATTTTGTGACCCACTGTGAAGTTTCTCAGAACTAGTGCTAATATCCTGAGCTTGCTGTATTTATGCAGCAATTATCACCTATAAAAAAGGTGATAATATAGACTTTCATGATTAGAGGGCCAGCTGCTAAGCTGGTAGAAATGGGTGTAGCTCTGTGTGCTCTACCAGAGCTATACTGCTTTATGCCAACTGAAATTGCTCTCCAGAATTTTGACTCCGTCATAAAATCAAAATAAAGAGAAGGAGTCAGCTTAACAGTAAATTTGGATTTGGAGATGTCTGAATTTCCACCTGGAAAATGTAGAGTCAAGCAGGGCGCACAATCGCACACCCATCATTTAATAACAGTTGCAGAGCACGTATTTCTGGAAAGGAACTATTATAAAATTACAGTGACAGCAACTAGCTTTTAGCCTGTGGGTTTGCATCTTTGCAAGATATTTTTTCTTGCATTCTATAAAATAATCAAATTGATACCATAGCGCTTTTCAAAATGGGGTCCCACAGAGGAGATCTACTGAAGCCTTAGGAAAAATACACCAATTTGTGATTTTAAAGTGTCAGGATTTTGTGTGTGGATACATACATGTGTCAGGTCAAAGTCCTGTCTTCCTGTAATGGCCACACAGCATCCATTTCCCCCGTAACACAGTGGCTGCTGGTTGAACTTCATAGCAAAGAATCAGTGAAGTCGAGGCAATTTCCTTAACATGGCAGCTGTAAGAGATTATAGAAGGGAGATGTGAGAAAGGCTTTCCTTAGTGGTTAACGCTTTCCTAAAGTTCAAATGAGGCGATATACAGTAAAATAAATTCAATCTGTATTTTCCCTTCTTTCAATTTTAGCAGGAACTAAATGAAATGGACCTGTGTTGATTCTACTCAGTTCAATATATCTTCGCTTTCTAATAACCAAGGTCGTTTTTACCTTCATGGAAAAAGGAACCTAATATAAAATCCTCACCCAGACTGAACAAACACATATTTGCACTTTTTCAAAAGCTAGGTAGATGACTGATATATTATGTAATTCATTTCATGGCACGCTGCTGAATGTTTTTTTATAGATAGTGTTTAACCTTGCCAATTTTGCTCTGAGATAATCACTCCTTTGAGGATAAAATCTCACATTTACCATTACAAGAAAGAAGAACTCCCCCCCACCCACCAAAATCTGCAGCCTACAACAAATAACGGGGAAGTTACTTAGCCAGGAAGATAACGATTAGAGCAGTTTTCACTGCTGACTCTGTGATTAGCCAGTGGTTGTTATAATATTAATCAGAAATATAGTGATAACTGTTCAGGCTACGTTTTGATACAGCCAGTGAGCAATGACAAAATGCTCAGACATCTTACAATAATGTATTTCTGCCCTGACTAATGGAAGTGGCAAATAGATTCATAAAAAAAAAAACCCTATATTTAGCACGAGAGCTATTTTCAGCATGCAGGAGCTTTGCTGGTGGCTCTCTGCTGTTTGTGATGGGGAATATTAATAATGCTAGAGTCTCCTGGAAGGGATGCAAACCTGGAAGACACCTCTGAGACACCCAAGAGGAGGACATCAAGGTGACAGGCCACAGGGTCAACAGCAAATGGGTCTGTAACCCCTTTGCTGCATGAGCCCTGGTGCTCCCCCAGTGACTACCTTTGAGAGCTGAGCAGTGCAGAAGGTCAATGCAAAGTGAAACATTACCTGGAGGGAGAAAAATGTATGTTTAAGCCTAGATTCTTCATATCACGCTGCAGGCACGTGGTTAAGGTGCCTATGTTTGGAGCACTCTCAGCCCCTCATTCCTGTTATAGCCATGGCAGGGAGGAGAGCACCTTGATGACAACTCAGCCCACCTGTGGTGTGAATCACCCTCAGAAGAGCCCAGGTTTCAACCCAGCTGCTGAAAGCCAAGCATCTGATGTGCTGTGGGATGAACCCTGGCCTTGACACGTGGGAATATAATATGCAGCATCAGGCTATAGGAAGGCTTTATGCCTTAGATGGCAGAAGAAATACTCAGAAATCAACATGGTGACCCTGCATTTGTTTTTTTAGTCATTTAATGGAAATTAATATTTTGAAGGTCTCATTGAAGATCCATCTCCAATCCATCCAGAAGTAGCAACAGACTAACAGCAAATAACAACCCCCAAAAAAGAAGCCTCAATTTGAAATGTCCTTTGAAAACATATGTGAGATCTCTAGTAAAATTTCTTTGACTAAAGAAGACTAATTATTACTATTACATTAAGCACATATATTAATGTATGTGTTATTATCTCCCTTCTTTTTTATTTTAATGTTTGACACAGGTTTCATTGGTCAAAAAAGATTTTAAGAGCACTTCCCTCCTTAAAGTATGCTTCATATTGCCACTACATAAATCAGACACGAAAGCTATTTTTTGTAAGTTTATTAACCAAAGACACAAGTTCCCCTGGAACTACTCCCAAAAGTAAATAATTGGACCTTGATCTGATGAAGGCACTTAACAGCAGGCTTATTTTTAACTCCATGAGTGCAGCCATTGAATTCAAAGGGATTGTTCAGATGTTTAAGTTGAGTGCACATTTAAGTGCATTGCTGATCAAGTGTCCTAATCCTTATGTTGTTACACTGATTTCAGCAGGGCTGACAGTGCAGAGTGATGGCAGGGGGAGAAGATTGCAGGACCAAAACCAGGGCTTACTGAAATCCTTATCTCTTTCCATCACCCCACATTTTTTTTATGTCTAGCTCAAAAGCAGAGGTCTGTCATTTGGTTTTGTTTTGGTGGGCTTGGAGTTTGGCTGATGTCTTATTTTGTGGTTGTTTTTTTTTTTAATTCTTCATGTTTACCTGTATCTACCTTCCTTGCTGTGGGGCAACACTCCCTTAGCTCCATGAGATGGAGAACACTCCTTCAACCCCCTAAAACCATCTGAATAGCATGACTAGGGAATGATCAGTAAACAAACTTCCAAATCCTGCAGCTCTTCCCTCTTGTGCCTAATCTTGAAATAAGGCTAATTAAGACCAACAGCACACTACTCGCTGTGCAAAGATTACTTATCAGCTTAATTTGATACTTTCACTGACAGCTGACATAAGTTTTCCTCTTCTTCCCTTGCTCCTTCCCACACTTCATTTTAAACAGGGATGAAGCTGTGCACAGACCTTTTGCTCTTCCCCTCTTCTCCACGTCTCACATGAGGTAGAATTGGTGTTTTCAGGCTCAAGGACCTGATCTTGTCAAGAGGAATCTGCTTTTCCTCAGAGCAGACCCATATGCCTTTTTCTTCCTAGCAGATGTACTACCAGAAAAACAGATTGGTGAAATGAAGCCTGCTCCTTAAAGGCGAACTGAAATGCTTGCATACGGTGTATAAAACACACAGTCTGCTGCTTTGAACCACACACTTTGTAGGATGTGCATTCAGTGCAGCTGCACCATGATCATCCTTGGAAACGCAATGAGCAAGTTGAAAAGAGATTTACGAACCCAATTTTTCAGAGCTGTGGTAGCTCAGAATTATTGAGTTTCTCCATTCGGGGAAGTGCGAGAGGCCACACTAAGTCTGATGCAATTTAAACCACTTCATAGATCATGCTGGACATCTTCTAATATGCACCATTACAGCCTTGCAGGATCTGATAAATGTTCGCCAGGGAAGAGGACGAGGTGTACTCCATTACATATGCTATGACTCTGTCCTCTTCCACTGCACCGTGTCCTCAGTTGATGTAAATCAGCATAGCTGTGGTGCAGTTAATGGGTTTTATGCCAATTTTCACCATTTCAGGATCTGGACAATCACGTCTATTAAAGCAGCTCAGAAAATTCAGTCTTGTTTTGTTTTGTTTTTTGTTTTGTTTTTAACAATGCCTGCAAGGTTTAATTCTCTGTTCTGCCTATATGACTGCAAGCAAGTCCTCCACACATCGGACTCCACTTTTTGCACAAGATCAGGTCTGACACAGACCTATCACCCAGGATGTAGCTTGAGAACTACCTTGGGTGTAGGCTGCTCCCTGTGCTCGGTCATGAACAATGGGACAGTCCTTGGCAAGCCAGCACCAAATCCTGAAAATTAGGTTAGAAAAGAGACTGTAACACATCTACGCCACTAAGTTATGGGAATCCTCTGAGAACTGAAGTTTTCACGAGGTGGTATTACTCCCAGGGAGGATTCATGATACATGTCAGAGACAGACAAGTTTCAAGGTTTTTCCTATATTTCTTAGCACATCTCTGAAGTAACGAGGGTAATGCAGGCAAAAAGCAGATGCTAAAACCAAACTCAGCTCCAGATAGGGTGCACACTGTTGTTTATCCCACAGCATTTTCTTTATGCTCCATCTGCTTCTAAGGTTTCAGAGCTTAACTGTGATGAGAACATTTTAAGAATTTTGGAATCTTCATTATAAACCAATTTTTCAGTCTTAGGTTTACATGAGATGTGTTTGCCATGATCAGCTTCAAATACTTCTGGGCAAGTCAGACTTTCTAACAGTTATATAAGTTTATTTTCAGTACACCCGTGACTGATCATCATTCTCATTTGTGTTTTTACGACTGTGGCAGTTACAGATCTTGCAAAAAGAGATCCATTTTTAAATGATGTTTACACTCATTTCAGTAGTTATATATAGCTACATACTTGAAAGTCCTAAATAAACAGGTAACAGGTGACATAAAAAATAAAATGAAATAAAAATATAAACTAGAATCAAATACATCGTCTGAAGACTCAGCCCTCAACAAATTCCTGGCATGTTTAGTGTATCTAAGAGGTATACATGCATTTTATAGGCATTATATATTTGCGTATAGATTTGTAAAACAAAATGACCAATGTGTATATGTATTAGATAAACAACTATCTAATGCAACACACAGTATTACACACCTGTCTCTAACATGTGCATACACACACATGTATCCATGCGTGTCTGCATTTGGCACCAAGATGCACACCAATAACACTTGGGAGATGAAAATAGCTTAACAGCCATGCTAGTGCAGGTCACAGGTGATGCAAACACTGTGAACCCTCTCAGAAAAAGGAACTTCAAGAACAGTAAAGACATCCATGGGCTGCCCTGGGGGTCAGGAGCTAGGGAATGCCTTTTGATGTGTGTTGCCATTCAACACATGTTGCCCAGGAGTGCTAAGAGAACTTGGTGAAGGGCTGAGAGCCTATACCTCTAGCGGATGTGCAGTTTGTATGAACAGGCAGTCAAAATGACCACAGTTGGGTTGTATGGCACCTCTTCATCACCTTGAGGGAGGCACAGTCGCCACTGAAGCCAAGAGAAGTTTGTTGTGGCTCCTGCTGAGGAAAGCCAGCCCTCACATCTCCTCCTGCCTGGCTTACCTGCCTCACACCTACACCCAGCACACAGGAGCTACACGCAGCTTGCTGACTTGCCCCTTCTGAGCTCCTAGTGCTGCCTCCTGCTCTGACGACTGGTAGCACAGCACGACATGATAAACCTCAGAGAAAAGTATGCTGTTCACTGCAGTGCTTTCCGCCCCACTCCCTTCCCTCTTCCCCTGCCAGCAATTGCAGCCAGCACCTCCCTTCCTGAGTCTAAAGGAAAACTATTTTTACAGCCCTGCTTAGCTGGACCCACTACAAACATTCCCAGGGAGGCAAAGCTTTTCCTCGACTGGTCTCCAGTGATCCAAAGGGGTCATGCAGCTGTTACCCTTCAACACCAGGGGATTCATGCAGACA